CCTGGTGTCACTATGGCACCTGACTTGAAAATATCCTCCTTTGCTACAACAAACAAAAGAGCATGCTAATGGCATAAAATGACAGACCAGGGCCAGGGATTTAGCTCAGTAGTTCCGGCACCTGCTGCTCAAGCACATGGTCCTGAGTTTGATCCCTGGTATCAAAAAAAAAAAAGAAATGACAGACCAGTGGAACATAACAGAGCACAGAAATGACCTATGCATTAAAGGCTAATTGATTTTTCCAAAAAGGTGCCAAGAACACAATTGGGAAAGAAAATTCTCTTCAATAAACAGTGTTGGGAAAACTGGATATCCACATGTACAAGAATGAAATTAGACTCCCCTCTCACATCACACACAAAATCAACTCAAAATGGATTAAATACTCAAATGTAAAACCCAAAGCTATAAAACTGTTGGATGAAAATGAGAAAAGCTTCATTCATAGGTCTATGTACAAATTACTGTTATTTTCAAATAAGCAATCCTGTTAGTCAGTAATAACCAAAGGAAATGAAATCAGCATGCTGAACACTATACTACCAGTTCATTGCAGCATTATTCACAATAGTCAAGATATAAAATCAACCAATGGTCATCAGTGGACGAATGGCTATTGAAAATGTGGTACACATACACAGTAGAAAAGTATTCTGCCTTTAAAAAGAAGTGTATGTGAAAGTGTAAATAAGGATTAAAATGATTAAAATGAATAATTGATAATTTGAAATAGGAAGAAAAGGACCAAAGAGGTAGGGGAAGTGGGAGGGGAAGGGGAAAGGAAATAAGGACAAGGAAAAACAAGAAAAAAATGGAAACAAAGTCTTTGTAAATGGGGAAGGGAGGACAGGGAATGGGGAAAAAATAAAAATTAAGATACATCATGTACAGGTACAAGCACCCAATGATAAATGTAAACTAATTGTATACCTAAAATGTATCAATAAAAGAATTTAAGGAAAAAAAAAAAAAGAAGTGTATGTTATCATTTGAGACAACATGGAGGAACCTGGAACATTATACTAAGTGAAGTAAGCCAGGCATAGAAAGACCAGTACTACCTGATCTCACTTACACGTAGAACACACAAAAAAGTTGAACTCATAGAAAGAGAGATTGTGAGCAAGGGTGGCAAAATCAAGCAAAGGATGCTGGTTGAACAGCATCAAGGTTCTGTTAAGAACCAATACAGAGCATGGTAACCATATTTAATAATATGTTGCATATTTTCTTTTACTATTATTTTAAAATTATTTTTATTAGTACATGTTTGCAGTACATAATGCTTGCATTCCTTGGGTGGAGTTGGGTTCCTCATATAAGAAAAACCATGTGATATTTAAGCTTCAGTGTCTGATTCATCTCACTTAACTTCATGTTCTCTTTTGTTTTTTGGTAATGAGGCTTGAACTCAGGACCTTGTGCTTCCCAGGCAGGCACTGTGCCGCTGAGCTGTATCCTGGCCCTTCACTCAACATTATGATCTCAAGGTACATCCATTTTCCTACAAATGACTCAATTTTATCTTTATCTTATGGCAGGATAGTACTCCATTGTGTGTAAATACCACATTTTCTTTCTCCATTCATCTGTTGGTGGACACATAGACTGCTTCCAAGATTGAGCTATTATGAATTCTGCTGCTATAAACATGGATATGCATGGATCACTGTAATATGATGTCTTAAACTCTTTGGGGAAGATATCTAGAAGGGAAATAGTTGGGTCAAATGGAATTTCTTTTTTTAATTAATTTCTTAATTTTTTTAAGACTCTCCATACTGATTTCCATAGTAATTTTATTATTTTACATTCCCATCAATAATGTAGAAAGGTTCCCTCATCTCCCACAGACTCACCAGCATTTGTTATTTGATTTCTTGATCATGGACATTCTTTCTGGGGTAAGATGGAATCTCAGTATTGTTTTAATTTGCATTTCTCTAATAGCCAGTGATACTGAGCATTTCTTCAGTATTTACTGGCCATTTGTATGCCTTACATAAAGTGTCTACTCTTTTCATTTGCCCATTTTTGATTAGGTCTTTTATTGGGGGGTCTAATATTTTGATTCTTTATAATTATTAGATATTTTAAAATTTCAAAAGCGTAGATTTTTAAAATCAGTTTTATTGGTACATTTTAAGTATACAATATAATGACATTCATCATTGTAAATTTGCACCTTTACATAGTCTCTCTTGGTTCTTCTTGTTTCCCCCTTCCCTTGCCCTCCCTTGAACCCCTCCATCCCTCCCTATTTACAAAGATTTTGTTTCCATTTTTTCCTTTTCTCATATTAATTTCATTCCCTTCTTTCTTTTCCCCTACCCCTCCTATTTTCCCTTCCCTTTTGCACCTTTTCCTCCATTTCACATTATCTATTGTACCTTTTAGTCCTTATTTACACTTTCAGTTTCTCACACAAGAGAAACTATTTGGTATTTACATTTGTGTCCTACTTATTTCACTTAAGAATATCACTTCAATGTGCATCCATTTACTATAAATGTCTCTAATTTCTCATTTTTGATAGCTGAGTAGTACTCCATTTAAAAGACATACACACATTTTCTTTATCCAGTCTCCAGTTGATGGGCATTTGGGCTGTTTCTAAGTTTTAGCTATTAAAAATTGTGCTTCTATGAATATGGGTGCACATATGTGGTATGACTCTTTTAATTCTTTGGGGAAGATACTCAGCAGGGGAATAGCTGGGTCAAATGGGACTTCCAGTCCTAGTTCTTTGAGGTATCTCCATACTGATTTCCACAGTGCTTGCATCAGTCTATACTCCCACCAACAGTGGAGCAGTATTTCTCTTTCCCCACAGCCCCACCAGCATTCAAAAGTGTAGATTTTATTTGTTCTCAATGATAAGTTTGTGAATTATGGATATTAATTATCTTGACTTAATTATTCTACATTGTATACATATACCAAAACATTTAATCATATTCCATAAATATTTATAATTATTATTTGTCAATTAGAGTAGAAAGAAGTTGATCTTGCTTCAGCTTGAGGTTGAAACTAGTTTACTTGACAATCACAGCTTACAAGTTCATTACACATTTTCACTTCTCCACCTGCTGTGCTTAAATAATATTACACTTTGACAGTGGTAATGATTTGTAAAATGTAAGTTAAAAATGCAACAAAACAAAGTGATGACATCCAATGAATTAATGATTTCACAGGAAAGGCCTCAGTAGAGAAGAAATTGTTTCCAAAGACCTGTTACCAGGAATCTGTTTTATACAAAACTCATCCAACACTGGGGCTGCAATTCAGTGGTAGAGTACTTGCCTAGCATTCACAAGGCTCTGAGTTCAATCCCCAGCATCATGGAAAGGGGCAAGGGTCAACTCATCCAGTTGAAGAAGTAGACTGAGTGAGCACATTTCCCACTGGGTGAACTGGGATTGCAACCTCAAATGGAACATGCACTTCATCTGCAAGTGTGTAGTAGGGAGGACTAAACTAGCACAGCATTGTGAACACACTGACCACCTGCAAAGTACTGGTTCTAAGTAAAGCCTCAACTGTATGACTGTGTGGATGTGTGTGTACACGCACTGAGGGCTAAACAATGAGTGATTGTGCTGAATTCTGCCTGTGGACCTTCAGCATGTGATGCCCTATTTTAAGTGAAACTTTTGGAGTGTGTGTGTGTGTGTGTGTGTGTGTGGAGGGTGGTAATGGGGATTGAACCCAAGATCTCTCCACTGAGCTACATTACCAGCCCCTTACCCTGAGCTACAACCCTAAGCCCTTTTTTTTTCTCTTCCCAGCACCAGATGCCCTATTTTAAGTGAAAAATCCTGAGTGTGTGTGTGTGTGTGTGTGTGTGTGGAGGGTGGTAATGGGGATTGAACCCAAGATCTCTCCACTGAGCTACATTACCAGCCCTTTTTATTTGGGGGCAAAATCTCACTCAATTGCTAAATTGCCCAGGCTGAACTTGAACTCCTGACCCTCCAAGGCTTCAGCCTCCCAGAGTGCCAGGATTACAGGCATTACATTTCCTTTTGTGAAATATTTTCACCCATTGGGCCATTTAGTTCATCCAGATAGTTCATTATCATTATCAATCCTTCCTTTTATTTTCAATTTTATAAGAATCAAAGAGCCCAAAATTTCCTACATAAAGTGAGTATATTAATTTTAAGTTTCATTTCCCAGAGATTGAGAAAAAGAGTTATCAAGTGCATCTCAACTTTCCAAGCTTTTCTCCTCCACAAAACATGGAGTAGAGATTTCACAAGATGCCAAGTGTACAGAACACATCACTGATCTAAATCAAGTGTAATCAAGATTACCTAAGAAATACTGACATCCTAACCACTAAGAACTGAACTGTACAGCACAGGATTAGTTTAGTTTCATTCTCCAAGTACATAAACAAGAGGCCATTAACTAAATCATGTTCTTATTTTGTAGTCTCTCTAAGAAACAGTTTTGACTTTGAGTTACTCAAAGGCAGCGTGTCTGCACAACAGTACTGCAGCATTCATCACTATGGATGAAAAGTGTGGCTCAGGTGACAGCGATAATAGTGTGACAAGAGTGCAACTGTATTCCTACACCCATAATCCAGGTACTGAAGTGCATGGACAGCAAAGAAACAAGAAATTCCAAAATTCCTGATTAATATGAAAAGTGTTTTTGCTAATGTACTTAAGCATTTTGGATTTGAAATCCTTTCTTCACTCATGCATTTTTAGATAGAATACATCTCACTTTTTCTTTTCAGTAATGCAGAATTATGACAGGTAAAATTTATGACAGAATTATGCAAGCAAATTTCAGGAGTTTCAAAAGTTGTACTACAATTATGTTAAATATGTACCAGTGTGAACAAAGTCGGGAATGCCATTTTTAAAATGCACAGATTTATACTGGACAGATTAAGATGCCTCTTCCATTTTATAATACCATTTCACTGTTAGTACCACATAAACACAAGGAAGAGTGTTTCAAAGTCAGGTACTTACTGTGGTTGGAAAATAACGACTAGTTTTGAATTTTTTCAGAGCCATGGAGGAGGCGTAGGTGCCCAAGAAGAGGATGCAAGACATGAGCATGATATCAGGGACGAAATTGCAGTTGTTGCCCATGAGCTTCCCTCCATATTTCAAGCACTCCTTCTTTGTCAAATATGCCCAGTCAAAGGTTGCATTATAGTACTGAAGAAGAAAAAGCATTAGAGTTTTTTAGAGAACACCGATATGTCAAAAGCAGCTTTTTAATCTTGAAGAGCTCTGTAAGGATTATACCATAAGTTTCTGTAAAACAGTCTGAGGGTAACCATGAGAGGATGAAACTTGAGGAGCTGGTACTGGAATAGCAGTCATGGAGGGGGACTAGCAATTATGGAATCACCATGAGAATGATGAAGGTGTTACCTTGTTGGGGCTGCCCCCCTTCCAATCACCCATCTGTTTAACAGAAATAAACCACAAAGTTCTTTCCTGTCAACTTTCCTGAGAGTAAAGTGAGACACGTTAATATCCTGTCTCAAAATGTGAGACTCTCTGAAATGCTTTAAATGTTCAAAAAGTAATCACTTTTGTAGCACACAGCTTTTTATGCTTCTGCTTGATGGCCCTATCCAACCCTTTCACAAATATGCTATTTGTTTTCTAAGTAACTAAAGACTAGCAAGTGAAGAATTAAATTATAACAATAAGAACAGCCACAGTCTCATCAATCACCTATAAAAGTTTTTCCCTTTTCACTCCAGATGAGCATTGTGGCATCCATTCCTAGAAGAGCTGTAATGCCCCTAAGATTGTAGGGTTGTGTAAGGAGCATCCATCCTTGTGCTACATGATCTCAAAGATCTCAGTCAGCTTCATGGTTTTCTACTATGTCAGTGCTGTACTTTTGTCTAGCAGTTCATGCTTCCTATTTTCTGTTTCTAATACACAGAGAATCTTTTTTTGCTGACATGGTGTGTGTGGCCAGTGCACCAAACCCAGGGGCTCTGAATATCAGCTGCTATCAGTAGGAGCTGTCTCCTTCTCTGAAGAATTGGCTTTAGCCACATAGGAGCTGCCTTCCCTGGAATGTTATTCCTGTAATAGCCAGTAACCAACCAACACTAACAGGAACATAAACTACCACTCCATCTTGAGGTAAGAGCACCTGGGTGGCACAGGTTATGCTCCTGAACTCCACAGGGCATCAGTCACACGCCAGCTCAGCCAGACCACATTCTCATTCAACTCTTTCCCAGTCCTAAACTGCTTTGCTCTGTTTTCAGTGAGACCATGCTCTCAAATAGTTACATGCACTTGAAATTCTTATATCAGACTCTCCTTCTAAATCAGCCAATTTACTTGAATTACAGGTTAATCAAAAGTTATGCTTCTAAGTACATGGAAGTTTTTGAAGAATGGCAGAGTTTAGGAGAAACCCAGAAACGGTATCATCAGATTTCTCACCCCTGGTCTTGGACATCCCTGAAAGATGAACATACATCCCCTGCTTGAATGTCTTCTGTGATGAGTAGTTTTCTGGTAGCTCATTTTCCTGCTTAACAAAATTTCTCCACAAGTATTTCTTATTTTCAGCCTTCTTAAATAATACACTTTTAAGTTTCTTTTGTACAGAGAGTTTTGTATACTGTGACGATCATGGCTATTTCTTGGAGAGAGATTTTCAAAATCTTACCAGTCTAAATGAATGCCAGTGTGACCGGGTAGAATGGATTGAGTGTTTCAGCTTAGAAATATTCTAAGTACCTGTAACGTCTATCCTTGGGAATAAGGCTAAGTATATCAGGCTATAACAGAATATGTATTTGAAAACACCATGAAAATAAATGTGGAAAGGTAAATTTCTCCTGTCCTTCCTTTGCAGGCAACAGTTTCACTTCATACCAACACAACATACCAACATATTTACCATGCTATGAGCTCTTTGATCTGAGTGACCTAGACATAAAAGAAGAATCTCTGGCCAGAAAGAGCTCATATTTTTATAGAGCTCAAAAGGTAAAGTGCTTCCGTAAGTCAACAAAAACTCTATCGTTCCTTGTAATATTTTTGTATATTAACTTCAACATGTAAACACTTGAGTTGTTTAAGTGCTCTTTTATCAAACTATGCTTCTTAATCATGTCTCATTTTATTTTTTAGATTTATTCCTATGGATGCTTTTAGAAGAATATATGTAAAGTTTAGAGGTCATAATAAATAACAGATTTCTATGTTTTAAAATCAGCAAAAATGTACTATAATTTTACTTCAGCACATTAACATCAGCACAATCTTTTGCAGCTACAGTGCACCAAAGAGGTAAGATGTATTGAAAAAAACCCAATAGACAGCTTTATTGATTTTCTTACAAAGATTCGGATTGAGGTGAAAACTATGCCATGGACATGAAATAAATGATAACTGTTTTCTTGCTTGTATCAATTTGAAATGCCAATATCAATATTTTGTAAGTAGTTATACTGTATTGTAGCTTCCAAACACCATCTTTCAATAAGTATAAAAACTTTGAGAAGCATGTACATATTTCAGTCTACATACAGTTTGCACTCCCATAAAATTTAAACTATAGCTAATGAACAATTTTGTTTAAATATCATTGAAGACATCTACATTAGCAGTGTTAATTCAGAGTTATTATAAGCTAGAGTCAATAAAACTTAACACCTTAAAACTCCAGGCAGGATCTATTCCATAAAGAAAGTAACCCAGAGCAAATGTTACTGAGACAGAGAAGCACCTGACTCTCCCTATCCCTGTGCTGGCTGGAGGAGGGTATGTCTGCCCAGCATAGCCCTCGGTCTTTGCACCCCAATGGGCCAGGACAGTTTGCTTCAGTGTTTGCCCCATGACCACCAGCTATCCAGTGGCATTCTCTTTGGCTGTCTAGCAGTTTCCTCCCTGGCTGCCTAGCAAACACCCATCCTCCACTCCAACCTGAGTGCGGCCAGGCAGCATGACATCCTCCTCCACTCAGTCACTTCAGAGGCTACTGTTGCATTATCTGCTGCATTTTGGAGAGGGCACCCCAGAGTGGCTAAGATCAGGAAGGGAGGACCTGGGCCTGTTATTCACATATCTGTATTCATAGAAAGCTTTCAGCCCTCACCCTCACCGAAATAGGCGTGCAGCTTCTACATAAGCAGCATTCCCAGCCACTTCTCGGGCAATCCCTCCTGTGCTGCAGCACAAGTCCTGTGAAAATCAACTCACTTTTTTGTTCTTGCAAACCTGCTTGAGTAGGGTGCACTCAAAAAGTCCTGTAAATCTATTTGGGATTTTTTAAAAATCTCAAGTAGTATAGACAGAGCAGGCATGGATAAACACTTAGCTGTTGACACTAAAAGCTCCAGAGACTAGCACCAGATGGTGACAGCTGGCAGGGCAGGGATCAGCCCCTGAGCTGCACCTTGCCGATGTCATAATTCCCATCTGAACGCAGCAAAGAACCTGAGGCTGACTGACAACACCACCACCTTTGTTCAAGCACCACTGTCTCTCTCTTCCCAGCTCAATGCAGAAGAGCCTTGACCCATCTCACTCCTACTGTCCTTTGCCTCTTAAAGAGGATTCTCAGTTCTCTATGGTTTTGACCCTTGTTTCCTATGAAAATTCTACACATAGTGCTTTAATGACTAAATCAGAACTTCAAGAACAAGAAAATGGGAGCGTAATCTCACCATCCTCTCTGCCTGATAGAATACACAGAGCACATTATCTCTTCTGCTTAAGATGCTTACAACTTTCTATGGGAATTATATTACAGCTCTTCTTAGTGTTCAGCATTATGAGTTTGAAAATTCTCAGAGATATATCTAGGGGGTCAGGACACCTGGACTCACATATTGACTTAGGAGTCATCTAAAAAGAACTGGTCCCAGAAGTGATAAGACTTAATACAGCTAAGCAGTGGTACAGATTAGATCAGAAGAGGGAGTAGTCAATTTCATCCAATAGAGAGAAAACAAAATTTAAACTAATCTCCCAAGTAGGACAGGTCCTCGTAGAACTCTTACATTCAAAAGGTAGTAAGGAGTAGAGCAGAGGACAGCAAAAGAAAGGCATAACAGAGAGAATAAAAAAGCCAAAAACTAGGAGACTAGATGTGGCAAACTGTAGCTGCATATATCTTTCTGTCTTAGCAGAAAGGAAGGAAAAGAATTATAGAAACACTGTGAGCACAGGGCTTAGTGGCCTTAACCACGAAGTCCTTTGCTAATATTTATGAGTGCACTGCCTACTATGGGAAGAAGCTACATTTTCCTCCAGCTCAGTGATGGGAAACCCTGTAGAGACCCGGGGCCTTAAAGCTGGAGAAGTCGCAGTGAATGAGGTGTGGCTCCTGATGTTAGAGCCCGGCTCCACTATTGCTTTCTGAGCATGCGCTGTTAAACAAGGGCTGCTGGGCGAGGCTAGGGAGACCTGGCTCAGTGCCTACAGAGAAGGGCTCTGTGTGCCATAGGTTTGCCACCTCTGCTCTGTCTCACTTTCACGAGAATTGCCCTGCTTATACTGAGTGGATGTGCTTGAAATTCATGACGAGAATGTATCCTGATGGATTTAAGTTTTAAAATACCATAACATCCTCTCCAAATACAAAAGTTGAGAGATGTGAGACAGAATGGAAACACCATGACTGCCCACCATCCACACAGTGTGTACATGAGAATCCATTACCTAGTCTATTTTAGTTTAGTGCACATTTGAAATTTTCTGTTTTAAAAGTAGGAACACATGTATCTTCAAGGAGATTAAAGGACAGAATAATTTTTACACTTGACTTTCTCAATGGAAGAAAATAATAAAGATGCTATGCACAAAGAGATTAATGTGACATTCCATTTCCCATGAAAATGAATGCTAATTCCTAGAATCACCCTGAAGGGACATCAAATCAAAGCCCTTTTGCTTCCATTCTGACTGTCAAACAAAATTTATGTGACTGTAATAGTTCTTAGTCCTACGATTAATAGCATCTCCATGTAGACATGGTATGCTTCACTGACTAATATAATTAGCAAAAAATAAATAAGTAAAAGTTCTACATTTCTTTCCTTGAGTACCTGCTTGTAAATACATGCATAGCCCCTGTGTGTGGCCTCGATTAAAATATAATTGAGAGAAACTATAAACAAAAGTTTCCAGGTTAAATACTTGATGTACTCATTTAGGGGTTTTCCCCACAG